AGAGAAATAAATACGCACACCCACATCTACATTGTTGTATGTGAAGATTGGAGAAAAGAAGGGTCAATATTCGACTATTTCAAAATTGAAATTGAGAATGTTACAGAAAAGGTATAATTAAAACAGAGAGCAGATGTACGAATTCTGGTATCACGAAATATGTTGCACACATATATCTTGAAATGAAATTAACATAATATTTCTACGGAATCTCCAAGTATAGCAATGTAACATACATCAGCGTCTAGATATAATCAGAACTCTCTTGAATAAAATTTAATCAAAAAATAAAAGAAAAAAGAAAGAAAGAATAAAGAAACCAAAACACTATACCATTTTTCATTTATAAGTTGTAAACTGATTGCAAGGTCACTAGAAACATACCATGAGGAATTTAACCATTTATTCATCTTATCTATGGACAGATGACGTACGTTCAAGTGATACTCGCATAAAAAATATCTAATTAGATTCATATTTCAAAATAAATAATTACTTTTTTTTCCCTACAGCCTTCATTAGAACTGGTTCAATCGAGTCAAATTCCCAATTCTCGTCTCACTACACCAGTTCAAGACAAAGAGACCTTTAGTTCATCTCAATCAAAACATGGCAGAATAATGGTATTTTGTTTTGAAATATTAATTTAAGTTAAAAATATTTTGTTTATTTCACAATAGACGCCTTTATTTGAAACAGAAATGAACAATAGTGATCGTTTAGAACAAATCATTGATCCACGCTTTCATATGCTTGCACAAAGAAATAAAATATTTCCACGTTCGAAAGAAACCACGGCCACATCCTTAGCAGATATGAGACTAAGTTCACAAGCATGGACAAGCCCTGAAGATAAGATTCAGGCTCCAATCATCGAGTTAAAACAGTCTTCAAGATTATCTTTCATCAGCAAGTATGTTATAATCATTTTTGCTGTTATCAGAATTATTCTCTTATTTCTTAATAGAACTGGACGCCAAATCTGCTCGGTTCGCTGCAGTATAATTGTTATTGCTACACTTCTCTTTCTTCTATGTGCTTTAGCGATTGCTCTTTCATTAGGACTTATTTATGGTCTGGCTAACGGCTCCAGTTGTTCGACATCAACAACAACAGCTATTACTAGAACAACTTCTATTACAACATCAACAACAACGTCAACATCAACAACAACCACAACAACATCAACAACAACATCAACTACTACAACTACCACTACCCCTCCAGCTACAGCTTGGATTCCAAGTAATTATGGTACGCCATGCTCGAGCACATGCATCAATGTAACTACAGTAACTCCATCGACACTCGTTGCATCATGGACATTCGAAGGAAACACAGACGATGCATCGAACAACGGATATGATGGAGTCATTATGAATGGAGCTGCATTTTCGACAGGCTATATAGGTCAAGCAATTCTTCTTGCTGTTTCTTTATCTCAGTATGTTGTTGTACCATATATTGATTTTACTTCGAAAAGTTTCACTGTGGAAATGTGGATCTATTTATCCACATTGAGAACATCGGATATAAACCTTTTTGGCGAATGTGAAAATCATACAGTTCATCGATGTCTTCATTACAACATTCGCAATTACAAAGTATATATGGGCTTCTACGCAGATGATCTCTCCGGTGTAACAAATCTCACTACTGGTCGTTGGTATCATATAGCTTATATGTATGATGCTGTAGCCAATAATCAATCAATATATTTGGATGGACTATTAGAAGGAAACAGAGTAACCAGTTCATCATATCTTGGCCAAAATGGTGATGTTACAAGTAAGTTATTTGACCTTTGTTTTCTTAATTTTAATCTAAATTTTTAATGTGGAGTCGGCAAAACGGGAATCCCTGCGGGGAACTGGTACGATGGATTGATCGATCAAATAACTGTTACGAATCGAGCTAAAACATCGTGTGAAATTCTTAATGATGCATCACTTGTCGCTCATTTTCCATTTGACGATCCTCTTGTGGATATTGGACCCAATACAATGACTGCTACAATTACTGTACAAGGTAACAGTGGTATGAGCTGGGTAACCGGTAAAGTCAATCAAGCGCTCAGTTTCAGTAAGACAAACTCCTATTTTCAAACATGTGGGTTTTGGGCCTTGGGTCAAAATCAAGCTTATTCTATTGCTCTATGGATTAATCCATCGTTTCAAGCTGGTACACTCTTCCATCTATCGACAGCAGCTACAGGTTCAGGTAGTTGGTGTCTGCCAATGATTGGATTCAGTTCAAATGGATCGATTGTAAGTCAAACTTGGAATTATGGTGCTTTTGCTGTAATCGGACCAATACCCCCAATAAATGCATGGA